ATCATTTCCTACCCAAAAAGGTCTAGATTGGTCCTGAGCAATTCCCTCCCCTCATCAGAAGCAAGGCATTTGTCCAGCTGACGTCTTTGTGCTTGGTTGGTTCATTTCGCCAAACTCCGTCTTTCAAAAGTAACAAGGATACAAACCAGCCCAGTTGCCTTAAAAGAACCTTCAAAAATGCCCCCCAATACATTTTTCTCACCCATGTTTTCCTAAGAATCTATGGGTGTCAGCTTGGTTATTTCTTTCTCTGGAGATGAAGAGATGAGCTCCAGCACATCTCAGAAGCAGCAAAACTCTGGACTTCATCCTTAGGCTCCCACTTACCCTCTGCTTCCTCCCCCTCCCTTTTGCTACTGTTCCAAACTACAGCTCCCACCCCTGGAACTACTGCTCCCTCCCCACACCCTAGCATCTGCTTGGTGACCTCGGGGCATTTTTCTCCTCTTCCCTTGTTAGCAGAAGTGTGACACTTCCCCAGAGGGAAGCAAAGAGGACATCTCTCAGCATTTGAGAGAAAGCCAATAGTAGATCTTCCCTGCAAATGTTTCAGCCAAGTCCAGATCCTCTGAAGTACACTTCAGGAAAATTAAGAAGAGTACAATATGAAATAAAGATTTAAGAGAAATGAAAACAAACATCAGAGAGGTCCCGCCTGCAGTCCCTGACTGCACCAGCAGACAGCACAAAAGCTACAAATGTTCCAGATGCCAGCTAATGGTGCCAGTTAACGACTGCAGAAACTGGTGTGATATCGAGGGAGAGCTGGCCCAGGTTTCACCAAGAGGTTAGGTCCAAAGCCCTACACCTTCCTGTAGATGACTGAGTCAGAAGACCAAAACTAGGCTGCAGCCAGCAGTCACGACTTCTAGAAAATGGGGCCCAAAGCCAGTGTGATCAGGAATTAGAGGCTCTTCCAAGAGAGATAGTAATTGTGTCTACTGACTTTATACTCCATGCTTCCTCTGGTGCTAAGGAAACTTCAGTCTTTATTTTAAATGCACACTTTCTCTTCTAAGCCATTAAATACAATGTAACTATTGATCCTTGTAAACCCAAAATATCTGTTTTATTTTTGCTGGAAGCTCATGGTGGGGAATGGAGAAGAAGAGGGAGAAAGAGAATGATGGAGACGGGTAGGGGAAGAAGAGAGGTAGAGAAAAGAGGGAAAGGGGAAAGAGGAGAGGGAAAGAGGACTGTAGCAGAGAGCAGAGGCAGGTCACAGCTCTGTGTTCAGCTCTCAGTCCTAAAACAGTACTGCTAAAGGAATCAGGGCCTGACCTCTGAGAGCTTACCAGTCAGGGACTATACAGTAAGGAAAGTAACCAGGATACAGCCATCCCATCTGAAATTACCACAAGGTGATGGCATCTAGAGTACTATAGGACCTAGCCCCTGGTACAGTGTCATCCCACCCTTGGATTGCAGTGGAAGGTGAGTCCTAGACTTAACCACCCTATCCAAAAATGTGAGAGAAGAAGAACGTGGGCCTGGTATAGTCCAAATCTAGGAACTAAGGCTGAAGATATAAGTAAACAGAAGACAAGTTTCAGAAGAATGAAGAATTATTGTGAGTAAAAGAATTCCAAGAAGAATCATGAGAAGAAAATAATTATACAATAATTACAAGTAGAACCCCAGAAAAAAAAAAGTAGCTTGGTTAAAAGTTTTCCAAAAGAGCTAAAACAAGAGCTAAAGAATGGAAAATGATAAAAAAAAAAGCTTAGAAAAAAATAAGCAAATTGTAACAATCCTAAAAAAAAGAGATAAACAGAATTTAGTAATTCAAAAAGAAAACAAGAAATGAGGTATCTACTATTAAAAACATCTGAGCTAGAAAATCATTTCAAAAATCATTAGATTCTGTGAAAATCAACACCGAACAATAAACCCAAGTGTTTAGCACAGTGCCTGGCACACTGACTATTTAGTCATTTTTCAGGTGTGTCTAACTCTTCATGACCCCATTTGAGGTTTTCTTGGTAAAGATACTAGAGTGGTTTGCTATCTCCTTTTCCAGATGAGGAAACTTAGGCAAACAGGGTTAAGTGACTTGCCCAGGGTCACACAGCTAGTAAGTGTCTGAGGCCGGATTGGAACTCAGGTCTTCCTGACTCCACACCCAGTGTTCTATCCACCGTACCCCCCTAGCTGCTCAATTCCTCAAACAAGACACTACTGAATAGCGTGACTTCATACATTTCATTGGCCCCAGAAACTTCCTCATCCTGGAAGATCACTTCATCCCTGAACTCACACTGCCAAATTACATCTGCCCCTGGGCCCCCTGCCTCTGATTGGACACATTAATTATTCATGGTTAGGCCATGCCAATGTAACAAAAGTTATACTACCTAAATTAGTTTACAGATTTAGTGCCATATGAATCAAATTACCAGGGGGTAAATTTGTACAATTAAAAAATAATAATCTGAAGGAACAAAAGATCAAGAATCTCAAGGAAAATATTTTTTAAAGCAAGCATGAAGGGGTATCAGCTTACTGTATCAGCTTAAACTATACCATCAAAAAGTAATTATCAAAACTATTTGGTACTGGTTAAAAAAATAGAAAAGTTGATCATTAAAACAAATTAGGTGCACAAGACATAGAAGCATAATAGTGTCTTGTATTTGATAAACATAAGGGCACCAACTACAAGGATAAGGACTCTATTTTTGACAAAAACTGTTGAAAAAACTGGAAAGAAGTCCAGCAGATATTAGGTTTAGACCAGCATTTTACACCATATACCACAATAAGCTCTAAATGGAAATATGACTCGAATATAAAAGGTCTTATCAGAAGCATATTAAAGAAGGGAAGGAGATAACTTTTACAACTACATCCAGAGAGAGAATTCTTTTTTTTGCTTTTTGGTGAGGCAATCAAGGTTAAGTGACTTGTCCAGGGTCACACAGCTAGTTGAATGTTATATGTCTGAGGCCAGATTTGAACTCAGGTCCTCCTGACACCAAGGCTGGATCTCTATCCACTGTACCACCTAGCTGCGCCTAGGGAGAGAATTCTTAACTAAGGGCATAGAGGTGATCATAGGAAATAAAATGAATAATTTCAACTGCATAAAATTGAAAAGCTTTTTCCTAAGTGTAAATTCTATAGCCTAGGGAGCTGAGGGAGAGGAGAAATCTTCTCCCGTTAAAGAGTCCCAGCTTTGGGCTCATAACACAAAGTTCGTGTCTTAGAGGATCCTGACTCTAAAACTCTCTGGCTTATTACATCTTTAGCCAAGAAGGCCCAAAGAAAATCTTTTAAAGCTTAGGCTCGGCTCATGTCTCTCCCAAAAGGGATTAACTAGATCTCTTCTAAAAAGGTACTAGATACAAAAAGTACATCGGGTCTAGGACAGCTATTTATTTCCTTTACCACAAAAGAATTGCTTAAGACACAAAAGACTCATGTCACATATAGACAACATGAAATATTAACCCATGACACCTGTTATACTCTTCTGGGAAGTTGGTATTTCAAATATTGGAGTGTCCAGGGATGACTAGCACCTCTGGTATGAGGGCTTGCTGACCCTTCTTCAGGGCTGCTCATTCACCTTTGGTGTCCACCTGCTCCTAGTTCTCACCTGTGGCTCCAAGAAGCTGGGGCATGAGCAGAGGCCACATCACAGCAGATCATCCCAGCAGATGGGTTAAACCAGGTTGAGGGTAACCAACAGTTGGTGAATTAGGGGCATGTCTAACCCAAGCCTGTGTAGACTTAGCATAAAGGGCAGAGGAGAACAATTTGTTTCAAAGGCCATAAAGGCAGTTGAAGCAGGGACTGTGGAATACTTAGAGCTTGAACAGACATCGAAGATACCATTGCCAGTTGTCCAGCCTTTGTCTTGTCACTGGATATCGATAACTCTGGAAGACAGAGTGAGACTGACCACTTTGTGCAACTCTGCCTCACCCAAATCCAAATCCATGTGCAAGTCAAGACATCACCCCACATAATGTCACTGGTCCTCTTCAAAATGAAGGATAAACAATAACTTAAAATATAAACTACGGTGGGACTATTGAACAGGTATTTCACCTTCACCTCGGAGCTTCATTGAGAAACTCACTTATGCCCCATATCTTCTGGCCAGCCATGTATGTATGGCTCAGACTTTTCTTCCGATTAATCATCATGTTCTCCTTTTAGAAAATTGGGTGGGGGGCAGCTAGGTGGCACAATGGATAGAGCACCAGCCGTGAAGTCAGGAGGACCCGAGTTCAAATCTGGCCTCAGACCAAACACTCGACACTTATTAGCTGTGTGACCCTGGGCAAGTCACTTAACCCCAATTGCCTAATAAAAAAAAGATTGGGTGGTATGGTGAGAGAAATATTAATCAGTGTCCCCTGACTTATAGATGTCTGGTTCTTTTCCAAATCAAGTTCCTTCCCTTCGTTTCCACTTTTACTTCACTGTGAGAAGAATGGGTGAGCTATGATATGTAACGTCTTAAACTTCAAAAAATTGGAATCACCACTAACTCCTTCCTTCTTTATTAGAAAAATACATTAGGTGTCACTAATACTTAAATAGTACCTTTCTATAAGTCCTGGATAGAAGATTAGAGTTTAGAAAAAAATTGGAACCTTATGAATAGAAGGGAAAAGCAACCATCTTCTGCCTCCCCCTCTTGGTTTTCCTGCCAACAAACGATGTTAATAAGGTTATAAATCTTTTCCAATGCAGAATGGGTAATTATTCCTTGCATTTTTTACACAGTTTATTGCCAACACATTTTAAATACATACTAGCTTACTTTATCTCCCAACACTAAAGGTAGGTATGATGACCCTCCCTCCCCCATTTTACATATAGGGAAACTGGGGCCCTGGTAAGAATTCTGACTCAAAGAACAGTCACTGGGAGCACAACATCTTTATGGATAATCTCATCTTTACTCCAGGTCTGGAAGAAAACCAGATAATTCATTGTCTCTTCTTTCTTCTTCTGCTTACTGACATCCCTCCCATCCTTTCTTGCAGGTATTGTTAGGGCTTCCAGTGTGTTCCCTATCCTCAGCACTGTCTTTCTTCTGCTGGGAGGTCTCTGCATTGGTGCCGGGAGGATTTACAGCAGCAAGAACAACATCATCCTTAGTGCGGGGATCCTATTTGTTGCAGCAGGTAAATATATTCTCTCCATCTGTTCCTTTTCCCCACTGAGAGAAAGCTGGGAAAGTACAAGGACAGGCAGAGCCAACCTTGCACCTTTTGGTGTCTTCTCAGCTCACTTGGCTGAAATAAGACCAACACCTTTCTGTATCAAACACATCCACAGTGTTCCTCACCCCACCCTACCCCCACCCCCAGCACACATCCCCATGAAAACCTAACGGGAAAAAATGATAACAACAGCACTCAAACACATTGTCTTCTATTACAGGTGTTAGTCCCAGCTTACCAGCTCTGTGACCTGGGGGGAAAGCCTTTTCTGTTCACAGGACGCAGTTTCCTCATCAGTTAAAGAAAGGAGTTGGGGGGCAGTTAGGTGGCACAGTGGATAGAAGCACCAGCCCTGGATTGAGGAGTACCTGAGTTCAAATCCGGCCTCAGACACATAACACTTACTAGTTGTGTGACCCTGGGTAAGTTACTTAACCCCATTGTCTAGCTAAAAAAAAAGAAAAGAAAAGAAAGAAAGGAGTTGGACTTTTGTGAGTTCTAAGGCCCCTTTCAGCACTAATATTCTAACATTCTGCATTTTAACATCCCGGTTGCAGCATATCTTTCCAGGTTTATTACTCTTCTTCACACACTGAATTATTTGCCATTCCTCGTACGCAACATTCCATTTCTCATCTCGATGCTCCTTCCTTACCATTTCCTCTCAGAATCCCTAACTTCTGTCTAGGTACAGGTCCTATCTGTCCGCTCTCTCTCTCACTGGTGGAAATCACTTGGTATATTTTTATACTTACTTATTTCCATACATATCTCCCCCCAGTATAATGTAAGCTCCTTTTTTTTTTTTTTTTGCTTTTTGGGTAGGCAATGGGGTTAAGTGACTTGGCCAGAGTCATACAGCTAGTGTGAAGTATCTGAAGCTGGATTTGAACTCAGGACCTCCTGATCCAAGGCCAGAGCTCTATTCACTGTGCCACCTAGCTGCCCCTGTAAGCTCCTTTCTTCAGGCTAGAGTTGTCATCTTTGTATCTGCGGAAACTAACAGAGTGCCCGGGACACAGGTGGCACTTAAGAACTATTTGCTGGATTAATAAATTTATTCTGAAGGCCCTCCTCACATCCTCTGATTCTTTTCTCTCTCACTGAACTTCATAACTCTTCTACTCAAGACATAAAGAAAGTATTAATTAAGTGCTCAAAAGGGCTCACTGAATGAATAAATGACCCCTCATTCATCAGTGAAGAAGGCCAAGAGAGTTGAAATGATTTACCAAGATCTCAAGGTTGGTTAGTGGCTGAGCCAGTACTGTGACCCATCTCCTGACTTCCAGGTCCATGTTCCTTCCCCTAAATCACACTATACTCAGAGATTTCTTCCACCCTATTAATTGCAGTATTACATGTGGGTGGATCTTGGAGGGGTTGGGTTGGAGGTGAGGTTGGGGTAGGAGTGGGGTGGAGAAGAAAAAACAATGTCCAATTCTGTCCTTTTGAAAACTTTAATTCTTTTCCCTTTCTCAGGAGCACCACTCTTCCTCACTCTTCTTCCCTACATCTGCTCTTTTCCCCATCTTTCCCCTCTCTCCTTCCCCCTCTCCCTATGACCCAAAGCAACACATGTACAAGGGTGTATGGTCAGGATTGAGGAACGTAGTCACAACTGAGTAATACAACCAGGGTTGAAGCCATATAATCTTTTGCAGAAAGAGAAAGTCTTTAGTTTGTGTACAGGAATGTGTGGTCAGTGTCAACAATGTGATTAGTGTTAGAAGTTTAATCAGGGACAGAAATGTGGTCTGGCCTGATGAAGAGGGCAGCAATTATTCATGATGTAGTAGATAGACAGCCAGCCTCAGGGCCAGGGACACATGGATTCAAATCCTACTTCTAATGTTTCTAAGTAAATAAAGCAAGACTATCTGAGTCTCAATTTTCTTATCTGGAAGATCAGGAAAATAATATTCTATTATTATATATATTATATCACACACATATACATATTTTACACATGTATATGTAGATATGCATATGTGTATATCTATGTGTACATATATGTATACATATGTGTATGTGTACATGTATGTGTGTATGTATATGTGTATGTATGTGTGTGTGTGTATATATATATATATATATACACACACACACACATATATATTATTGGGGCACAATACCTGGTGGTGATGCGTGGATCATATGACGTTTAAATGAGACATGGATGCTAGATTTATGGAGCTAACAGTCTAACAAGGGATATCACACATATATATATATAAATAGCTATAATTCAAAATAACCCATGATAAGTGCATAAGAGGAGTTAAAGCAAAGTATCATGTAAATCTGAAATGGGAGAAGTTCATTATTTACCAGAAAGACACAGAAAATTTCGTGGAGGAGTTGGGCTTCCAAGAGGTAGCAAGGAAGGGGTGAGAGCAGTTAAAAGTCATAATGATGATGAATGAGATTGGGAAAGGACTGTGAGTATTATAGAGAGAAGAACAATGAGGACAACACCTTAGGGTGAGAACACCCACTGTTAAGGAACCAAAAAAAAATGTTGAGGAGCCAGGGCTGGAGACACTTGAGAGACAGATCAATTACAGAGGCAGAAGGAGATCTTGGAAGTTAGTGTCTCTTTCAGAAACAGAGGTGAGGTTATCAGAGAGGGTTGCAATAGTGCCAATTGTTGCATAGAGGTCAAAAAGAATGAGGGTAGGGAAAACAGCTACTGTATTTAGTGATGAGGTGACCTCTGGGAGAACAATGTACATAAAGTGATCAGGATCAAAGCTAGATTTAAAGGCTTTTAGAGTGGGTGATGAGGAAATAAAGACATCAGGTGCAGACAGCTTGAGTATCTAAAAGTAAAATAGAAGGTTTGCCAAATAGCAGTAATGATCCACCTGAAGATGCTGTAAGAATTTAGAGCTTGTCGCTTCTCTCAGCTCTAATGCTCAACCCAGAAGTAGATATAGAGGCATCAAATGAAAATGGGGCTTAAGTATTAACAGTTCAAGAGAATGGTGAGAGATCATGAGTAAGAGAATCTAAAGTAGTAGCTAAAGAATCATTAAAATAACAGACCACAGACTCATAGGTGCACTTGGAGGCAAGAAAAACCAGGGTGGGAGAAATGGATTCAGCAAAGGGAAGGATCAAGGGATGAACAGTTAGGATGAGAGCAAAGGACAGATTGAGGATTAGGATAGGAGATTACCATTAAAGAATGGAATTTCCAAGCTCGGGATCTTGGAGGTAGCAGAGTTCAAAGAGATGATGAGGTCTAAGGTATATAGCCCATCCTCCCACTTTTATCCAGGGTAAAACAGATTCTAGATATGCTAGCGCAGGATATGGGAACAAAACTGGACAGGTTATGCATATGGCCAAGAAGGATGGTGGTACCTTTTGGTAGGTACCTGCGTAGTTAGGATGGAGAGATTTAGCTCAGGTGGAATCAGACTAAAGAATGTGGCTAGAGAGACAGGGACCAATCAGGAGGTAAATTAGGAAATGTCCTTGGAAAGTTGAAAAATGTGATAGAACATTTAATTTGCAAGTCATTGAGGATTCATTTTATAGATAAGGAAACTGAGGCCCAAAGAGGAAAAGAGACCTGCCTCCCCTCCCCCCACTTCCAAGATCATACATGGTGTTAGTAGCAGAGAAAGGACAATAACACAGGTATTCAAGACTCTCAGTGGTTTTGCAAACAAATATGACATGTTGAATAAGGAGATACAGAGAAGGAAAGGGGGACAGGGAACCACTAAAAGACAAACTATGTCTATGTGATTCCTTTTGGAATGTGCCAAAAAGGACAGGATGTTGACATCTAGGCCTCCTCTGGCTGGTGTAGAACCTCTGTTTGTCTCATTCAAATGATCCCCTGCTCATCACTTCCCAAGCCATCTTCATGATCCAGCAGTCTGGATTCCGACATTTGGCATTCTTCTTCCTTCTTTCCCTTTCAGGTCTGAGTAACATCATTGGAATCATCGTTTATATCTCCAGCAATGCAGGCGACCCAAGTGACAAGAGAGATGAAGACAAAAAAAACCATTACAACTATGGTTGGTCTTTTTACTTTGGCGCTCTGTCTTTTATCGTGGCTGAGACAATAGGCGTCCTGGCTGTAAACATTTACATTGAGAAAAATAAAGAGTTAAGATTTAAGACCAAACGGGAGTTCCTTAAGACTTCTTCCTCTTCCCCTTATGCCAGAATGCCAAGTTACAGGTATAGAAGGAGGAGGTCCAGATCTAGTTCCCAATCTACGGAGGCTTCTCCTTCCAGGGATGTCTCCCCCGTCAGCATGAAGATCTCAAGTTCCATCCCCATGGGGGAGATCTCCATGTACACCCTATCCAGGGAGCCCCTGAAAGTGACCACAGCAGCAAGCTACAATCCAGAGCAAGATGCTGGTTTCCTCCAGGTTCACAACTTCCTGCAGAAGGAGCTGAAGGAAGGATTTCATGTCAGCATGATTAATCGGCGGACCACGCCTGTGTGAGGAGAGTGAAGGATCTCCTTCCCCTTAAAAAGAATTCTCATCTCCTTACTACAATGGATCTTTTGATCAAACAGGAAGATCCTTAAAAGAACAAAAAGACCAAAAGAGAAAAAAGAAAAAAAAAGAAAAAAACTCAACAGAAACAAAAAAATTTCCCTGATCTCCAAAACACATCAAGTGCTAGTTTTTACAAATAAGGACCTGGGGATATTGGAATATGAACAGCAATCAGAAGCTGAAGGCTGACTTTAAGCAAGGAGGTTGTTCAAATGCCTTAAGGTGTAGTCAGCCTCGGAAGAAGGCAAAAGTGCTTACCTGAGCCTTCTGGGGTAACTCAGTCTTATTGATGCTGGAACACAAAATTGAGCCATTATCTCCTTTTGAAAACATAACTTGACAGAAGAATGGGATTTCCATGGACCTATACTTAATAGCACCCAGCACCACTGGAGAGTCTCCACACCACGCTCCAATGGAGGGCTATAGTGGAGATCACTGCTGCTCCTCAGAACAGTGTTTCACTTGCTTTCTGCGATGGAGAAGAGGAAACCAAAGCTGCTCTCTCAATCTCTCTCCCCTTCTCCTCCCTCCCCCCCTTTCTCTCTCTCTCTCTCTCTCTCTCTCTCTCTCTCTCTCTCTCTCTCTCTCTCTCTCTCTCTCTCTCTCTCTCTCTCTGTCTCTCTCGCAAGTGGACTTGGGTTGAAAACTTTTGAGCATAGGGCAAAAGAACAGCACCAAGCTGGTACTCCCAGAGTGTCTGTGGCTAGGGCACCAGCTCCATTAACAGAAGTTAGGGAAGATGGAGAGCTGGCCTGGAATTCCACAGGCACTGAGTGACTGAGTTTGGAGACCTAGACAAGTTGAGGAGAGCAACGGACTGGGCCACCAGGAAGGAAATAAGCAACTGGACGTTCTAATGGAAATATTCCAAGCAGTCTTTGCAAAGGTGACTTCAAGCTTCAATTTGGGGGCATGGCTGTAGACGGAAAGTGCTATCCAGACAAAAGGTGAAAGAAAGAACACGGGGCAGGATTGTGGATCCCATCCCTTTGCCTCTCTCTGCAGGCCAAGGCAGAGCTAATCTTAGTGGATGTCTGCTGTGCTTCTCTTTGGATCTAGCCAGTGTTTGGCATAGAGAATGTTTGTCCAGATATGTGAACTTAGAGTTAATATATTAATGATGCTATGAGAAATACAGAGAATACAAACCCATTCAGTAGGTTTATTAAACATGTTTTATTACAAATACATGCCAGGGGAACAAGTTATGTCCATTCCTTTTTTTTTTTGTACCCCCAGCATCTAGCACAGTGCCTGGCAAATAGTAGGCACTTAATAAATGCTTGTTGATTGATCGGTTCTTTCCCTTTAAAAACTCACGTTATAATCTATTTTGTTAAAATCTGGGAGGACTGAATGGAGGAAGTTTGGACAAATGGGCAGAAACACTCATTGTTTCTGGCTCTGAAAATTTTTTTAAAAACTTAATACTCTATTTTATTTTTCAGAATACAACCAAGGTGGGGGAACATATTCATACAATCTTTACTTTTCCTAATTCCTCTTTTTTTCCCTTGAAGGAAGAGGGAAAAGTAGAGTATGTCCAAGTTCAAAAGAAAGACATGGATCTTTCCCCCTTTTTATATAAACATGCCTTTGTGCTTTCTAAAAATAAATTGTTTCCTACTTTTTTGAGACAATACAACCTGATCTGCCATCTCTGAACACAGTAGATGTGCTTCAAAACATCCGCCAAATTCTTACCTCAGCTACTGGCTCACAACTCCCAGTGACTAATGGCTCAGCTCCATGCGAGTAAGGAGGCACAGAATTTGGTCCATTCTGTCTCATTATGACATCACACTCACACCATCCTCCTTTGCACCTGCTAGAGTAAGTCCCTTTCTAGGTGCAATTCCTCCAGCTGATTGTTCCCTGTGTTAGTAAGATAAACAGTAGATACTAGTTTCCCTCTGTGTTTTGCTGTAATCCTTTCCTTCCAAGGTGAAGTTGGCATTTGTATGATAGTGTCTCTGCTTTTGCTGCAACAACAACAACAAAAAAGAACGGTGAGGGTTTTGTCTTGAAATAAACCTTTTCCTAGCTGTTGGGCCAACTTCACCAACACCATCTTATCCATGTCAGATCAGGATCCTCTCTGCCTGGAATCCAGCTCTGATCTGTAGACCCTCACCCTCTATCAACATCCCCATGCTTCTGCTCTGAGGTCAAGAGAGCCAGGCTGCCCTGCAATTGTTCTAGATTAGTCATCTCCAAATTCTCTGCTTTGAAGCAGCTGAAATGTTATGGAAGAAGCTCTACCCTACTGCACGGGGCCAGGCCAAAAAAAAATATATATATATATATATATATACGCATATATATAGATATGCACACATATTATATATATATATATATACATAATATATATACACACATATTATATATATATATATATATATCTGGCTGATGGGGGAGGAAGGGATAGAGAGATGGGCTGAGAAAGAGGAGGACAATGATAGATAGCAAAAGAAGCTCTAACCTTTTGGCCCTCAGATGTCTTTACCTCTAGCCCCCTCCTTTCCTACCCATCTCTTAAGGCATGATGTGTCTCTTGCCACCAACCCTTCCTTGCTGGATTTCAGTCTAGGCTCAGTAGGTGGCCCCCAGCAAGGGAGGAGAGCTGGTTCACTCTTCCTTGTTAGTCTGGGCTCCCCTGGGGGAGACAGAGTAGACAGTGGTGCTCTAACCCTCTCGCAGGGGGAGACTTGTTTTTCCCCATCCTCCCTTCTGACCCCCTTATCAACTCATGTGTGTTCTACCCATTTAGCACCATGTGAATCTTGTATCTACTATTGTTTCCCAGTTGTTGGTTTTGCCTTTTTAAGAATAATAATAAAAAATGTTTTTCAGATGTTTTCTTTTTGGTGTGGAAACAAAAAAATCAAGTCTCTGTGGTTGTTGGTAAGGTAACCCCTTACAACTAGAAAGAGTCCTTACCTCTGTGGGGGAAATGGGGCAATTGGGGTGGGGAGAGGTAGAGAGAGGGTGAGGATTAGATTTATTCACTAAGGTAGCCATGTGGATCAGTGGATAAAACCAAGGATTAAGAATCAGGACAGACGTGACAGCAAACCCAGCTGTGTGGCTCTGCCTCAATTTTCTTACCTGTGAAGTGGGGACCTAGGTGGTGCAGTGGTTAGAGTGCCAGGCCTGGAGTCAGGAAGATCCATCTTCCTGAGTTCAAATCCGGTCTCAGACACTTCCTAGCTGTGTGACCCTGGGCAACTCAATTCTGTTTGCCTCAGTTTCATCATCTGTAAAATGAGCTGGAAAGGGAAATGGCAAACCACTCTAGTATCTTTGCCAAGAAAATCCCAAATACGATCACAAAGAGTTGTACACAACCAAACAACAACAACAACAACAACAACAACAACAACAAAATGGGGATAGTACTAGCACTTAACCTTCCAGGGCTGTTGTGAAGATAAACTGAGATATTTGTGAAGTGCTTAGCACAGTGCCTGGCATATAGTAGTAGTCACTTAATAAACGCTTGTTTAAAAAAAAAAACACCTTAACCTCTCTCAGCCTCATTTTCCTCATTTGTAAAAAGGGGATAATAATAGCACCCAGCTCAAAGGGTTATTGTGAACATCAGACAAGATAGTTTTTATAAAGCACCTTGCAAACCTTAAAGTACTCTATGAATGCTAGCTATTATTCATTCAATAAACATTTGTTTATTAAGTACTGATGTACTAGGCAGGGTGATAGGAACCAAGAAGGCAAAGACTAGAGCAAAACAGTCTTTGCTCTTGAGGATCTAATATCATACTGGAGACAAGCTAAATATTTACACAAGTAAATAAATGCAAAATCTGTTCCAAGCCAATTTAAAGTACTAAGGGGCAAGGAAGGTCTCTTTGTGACTGGTGGATCAAGAAAGGGCTCAGGTAGGAGGCTGCACTTGAGCTAACCCTGTCTTGAAGGAGGCCGGGGATTCTAAGAGACACTGTGAGTGAAAGCAGGGAGACTAGAAAGTGCAAACAGTGAAAGGTCCAGTCTGTTTGCATCATAGATCGTGTTCAGGGGAGTACGGCAGATCTGGCTGGGAAGGCAGACTAGGACTAGAGTTGTATAGATCTATGCTAAAGGATAGGGGCAACTAGATGGTACAGTGGACAGAGCTCCAGGCCTGGAATCAGGAAAACTTATCTTCCTGAGCTCAAATCCAGCCTCAGACACTTCTACCTGTGTGACGCTGGGCAACTCACTTAACTCTGTTTGCCTCAGTTTTCTCATCTGTAAAATGAGCCAGAGAAGGAAATGGCAAACCACTCCATCTCTGCCAAGAAAATCCCAAATGGGGTCATGAAGAGTCAGACATGACTGGAAAATTACTAAAAATGCTAAAGGAGTATAGGACATATTACCGATGCTTGACCAAGTTATTTGGAGTACAGTTGCATTTCTTTTAAACTACTGCCCACCATCAAATACAGTTGAATCCCCTTGGTCAGTTGTATAATTTCACAGATGTGCCTTAAAAAACTTCTTTGGGGAGTATAGGATCAAGATGTCAGCTCTAAGCCAGAGACTTTGAAGATGGTCAGATGGATAAAGAGACTCCATCTTAAAGATCTGCACATTCAGTTTTATTCCCAGTTTATACAATCCTCTCGGAATTTTTTTATACACTTGTTGATAACTTACTTTTCTTCTTCTGAGAACTTTCTTTTTGTGTCCTTTGACTATTTATCTGTTGGGGAGTGACTGCTATTATATATTTGAGTCAATTATCTATATATCTTAGATATCAGACTTGTATCAATGAAATAAAAGATGCTAAGGCTGTAGGTTTGGGGATAAAAGTTTTCTTCTTCATAGGAAACTCCATACCCTATTGTCAAATGACAAAATGATCATAGCTAGCATTTACATAACATGTTAAGGTTTCCAAAACACTTTACATATATTATTATTTCATTTGATCCTCACAACAACTCTATGAGGTAGATGCAATTGCTATCCCCATTTTACAGATGAGGAAACTGGGGCTGTGACAGGTTAAGTGATTTGTCCAGGGCTATAAAGCTAGTGAGTGTCTGAGACAGGATTCAACTCAGGCCATCCTGACTCCCAAGTCCAGCACTGTATCTACTACCTTGCTGCTGCATCTAGTCACTTGGGGAAGTGTGTGAGTGAGGCTAGGAGCCCTCTAGTGTCAAACACAAGTAGCTGCAACTTCTCCAAAACACATGCAGAATCACTCCACCTCCCATCAGATCAGGCTATTGGCCTCATGTTCCAGAGCTGGCAGCCCCAAGGTTCCCTTCAGCTACTTTGTTACTTTTTTTAAAACTTTTTTGTTACTTTTAGTTACTTTGTCCACAGCCCATGGTTTGTAGATTCCAGTTTTATAGGTTCTCACGATTTCTAGAATATGATCATAGAATCATTGGTCTAGGGCTGGACAGGACCTCAAACACCAACCAGTCTAATTATTATTTTATAAATGAAGAAACTGAAATCCAGGAAGTTGAAGTGCCTTGGCTACACCAGTTATTTATTGTTGATGATTAGTCGTTTCAGTCCTGTCTGACTCTTCAT